ATTTTATTCAGACTTATATTCTGTATGTTCCCAATTTATTTAATATAATAAAGATGTAAAAAATACTAATTCCTGGGTGGTTCATATCACATCTCAAAATAATAAATTCTTGATCCATATCTATGAAAAGGAAGCCAAGAGAAGGGAAAAAGAACTTCTTGGCTTCCTTTTGGCCCAGAAATCTGGCAGTGCCAAAGAAAATACAGCTGAAGCTATGGCCCATTATGACTTCTGACTCATTTGGTCACATGAAGAGAATATTCACTTGAGGCATTTGATCAGCCTGGATCGTCTTTAAGCTCTTTCTCCTTGTCCAGTTTTCTCTGCCAGTCCTGCTGTGGGTCCTACACCATTCCTCTCCCAGCTTCCATCTGATGGACCATCACTTACCTATACTGCTTATTGATGGGCAAAGCAGCACCTAGATGAAATTAAGTTTTAAAAAACACCACAAAGAGGTGATAAAAGCCCCAGTGTTTATGAGGTTAAAATGATCAGTTTCCAAATATCATGAGTTAGGCTCACTCATACATGTATTAATACATAGTCATCTATGTATTAAGTTTTGCTTATATGCTTGAGAGATTCAAATTTCTGCAGCAATCAAGGCTATTAAAATATTGTCCTAGGCACTGAGGTTATAAAAAGGAGGCCTCCAGTAAACTAAGGCAGGTCTTTCAGTCCCAGGTACCTGCAGGGACAAAGCAGGTAACATACACGTATGAGAAGGCCAGATAGACAACTAACTCATTCACATTCAGATTTTTAGAAAATATCTCCTGGATCTTAAAACCAGTCACCAGAAGCAGTCACCTCTGTGACTCCTGCTCTCAGAGTAGAAAGTATAAAGCTGAGATGGGAAAATAGATATTTAATGAAAGTAGATTCCTTACACAACATATTCTCCAGCAGAAAGATGTTAATACCAGAGTTGCAGATGAAAGAAAGAGAAGTTGGATGGTTCTGCAATAAAAAAAGAAAATTCACCCAGAAAAAGTTAAAGGAAAACCTGATAGGAGTTGATAAAGGCAAGCAGGAGAAATGTGAGGCAAAGTAGTTCATAAGGTAATTTCCAGTGGGAAAGATTTCCAAACTCTGGACACTAGGGAGGATGTTATCATCGTGGCCTTCTCTGGAGCAAAGAAAGGGCACATCCAAGGCACTGGGTTCATAAAGTCATGAGGCTAGAAAAGATCAAGGGGTTTTTATTCTGAGATGTTTATCCATCTGCAATTTAATAGGGAACATGGCAAAATGACACACACTCCTGCCTTTTAACACTAACCACTTAGTCACTTCACCTTCGTTACCTCAGCTGTTAAATAAGGGACGTGAACCAGATGATTTCTAGGTTCCTGTCCAGATTTTTTAAAAGATCATGTCTGTGAAAAATGCTTGCATGATTCTGTGTTCAATAATCCAATCCTTTTTAATATACCTTACCTTCATATATTCTGATACAACAATAATAGTGAAACCAAAGATTGTAAAATGCACAATTACAGGTTTGAAGCAGAAATAATTCCTCACAGATACCATTATCTCATGATAATGGTAATGGTATCGTGTCACCTATGGCGATCATGAAAATTAAGTACAAAAAACATAAGATAAATCTTTCATATATTTCTTACAGCAAAAGAATTGCATGAAACTATTTCTGCCCTTTTCCTTTCACACTACTAGGCTAATTCAAATGGGGGGAAGAAAAAGCCAAATCAAGAATAGCTTACACAGAATGAGGCTCTGGCTAGAAATGTATTTGAACTGCTGTGGTCTGTGTGGTCTAGAGGGAAGCACAGCGGGCTGGGAGGTTTGGATTCTAGACCTAACCCTTCCGGTAACCACGTAACTCCGGGCAAGATATTTTGATTTTCTTGCCTCCATTTTCTATTTGTAAAACAGCCATAATTCTACATGCCTCTTCTACCTCAAAAATGTGCTAAGGACAGAGATAACATGTGTGAAAAATTTGAGTTCTCGGGAAGAAGGTATTATAGGCATTAATTTAGCATGTTAATGACAAAGAGCACTGATTTAACGATTTAAAAAATGCACTATCATAATTAGACCAACACAAGTGGGAGGGACAGACACTCAGTCACAGATTCACAAAGTGGGTCATCTATAAGTAAAAGTAAGTCATTACAACTGTGACAGTGAAATACAATACACACAGCCTCAACCCTCCAATAGAACAAACTCAGACCAGGCACAAGAAGCACGAACCTGGCTTACAGCCCCCTGGGCTCTGAACACACAAATTTTCCATCTTTCTTCATTTCTTCTTCCCTTCCTTCTTTTCCTCCTTTCCTCTTCCGCTTCCTTCCATACATTCAAAAATTTATCATTGAGGGCTTTAATGTATCATACCCTAGATAACACAACCCTGAAGTTATTTACTAGTCTAGTTATTTAAGTGAAAATTTAGTCATTTTAGACTAAGGGATTTGAGAATCCCTGGACAGGGAGGCTCAGATAGGGACCTGGGGAGAGAACCCAGCACAAAAGCAGCCTTAATTGACAGGTAACCAGCTTACCAGGTGGGCCTATCCCATACCTCTTCGAATTTTCTCTTTTATATACCTGTCCTTTTTACAAGTCTTCTTTGTTTTTCCCGTGGGCAGCAGGAAAGAACCATACACTGATTGCCGATTATAATGAATATTTTTCATTTACTACCTCATTAAGCCTAAATATTTCTTAGGAAAATGACCTTGTAACAGAAGACAGAAGATAGGTGAGTGAAAGCCAAAGTACCAATTAGGAGGATGTTACAAGGGCAAGATGAAGAGGCCCTAAATAAAGGCAAACAATGTCAGACCCTCTCTCTGTGAAAAGGTTTTTCTATTCTAAAAGGTCAAATAAGAAACATTCTTCTGGAATAAAGGTTGGATTCTATTTATATGTAGTTAAGATAAAAAATATTCAAATCATAGAATATAGAATCCATAACTCCTAACCAGCTATTTTCCCACCCCCAAATTTAGAGGCTGAATCATACATATGATCCTGGAATTATCTTTTGGAGGGCAGGCCCCTTGGAATACTGGCTTCTCCCATTTGGTAATTGTTCTAGGAACCCATAGTGTACCAGCTAGCATTGTTGTGAGAGGCTGCCTTTGGCTACAGTGAATTTTTTTTGGAGATTCTTTCAATGCATTTGCCCATTTCATGATGGGTGCTTAATGAGCATACCTGCCCACACTGTACTGAGTGTTCAGCAGTTTTTGACCAAAAAATGGCATGACCCCTGTGCCTCGCTCTCTCTATTCACCTTATCTCATCCTGAACAATTTTTTGTTTCCCCAGATGAACAAAGTTTTGCCTGTGTGGAAGGGGTGAAACAAAAAACAGCAGAAGCACTAAAAGGCATCAAAATAGGAGAGTTCAAAAACCATTTTGAGCAGTGGAAAAAGCATCCTGAAAGGAGTATTGCATCAAACAGAGAGTACTTTAAAGATGACTGTAGTTTAAATATGTAAGAATATATACACAATTTTTTATAGGCCTGGCTCAGTGGCTCAGCCTGTAATCCCAGCACTTTGGAAGGCCGAAGCAAGTAGATTGCCTGAGCCCGTGGGTTCAAGATCAGCCCGGGCAACTTGGCGAGACCTTGTCTCTATAATAAATAAAAAAAAATTAGCCGGGCACGGTAACGTGCACCTGTAGTTCCGATTGCTTGGAAGGCTGAGGTGGAAGGATCACCAGAGCCCAGCAGGTCAATGGTGGAGTGGCCGTGAGTTGTGTCACGGCACTCCAGCCTGGGTGACAGAGTGAGACTCCAACTCAAAAAAAAATTTTTTTTGTAAATAAATTCTGAGATTTTTTTGGGGGGTGGTCCCCACTTGTATATCCATAACAATGGTAATAATTAAAGCTTGAATTTTTTGAGTGTGTCTCTGTTCCAAGCATTGTGTTAGGTGCTTTACAAATACATAAGGCCCCAGCAACAAGGCAAGCAATATCACACTCACTTTCTAAAGGAAGAACCAAGACTCTGGAGAGGTAAGTAACATACCAAGGGACACATAAGTAGTAAGGGAAAGAGGCAGGATCCAAGCATTGGTCTGTCTCCAGAGCCTGTGCTTATTAGATTATACTAAGCTGTCTCCATGTTTATCTTTTTATGATTTCACTTGCATTCCTTTTTACTTGTAGGAATGCTGATTGTGGGTGAAAAGGAAGCAATGGCGAGAGCATCAGCATGGGAATTGGGGGAGTAAACAAAGGGCACATAAGAAGGAAGAAGAGAAAACCATAACTCTTCCCACACAATGGCCTTTGCTTTAGGAGGAAATAGACGCTACAGCTGCTGCATTTAATCAATTCATTTATGTTATGCATCTTGCTGCTGCCATAGAGAGGCTAGAAAGAGGGAAACAGGACTGAGAACTGCTGCCTCTAGGAGACCCAAGTGCAGCATAATTGACTGCTCAGCTCCTCTGTCCATGGGAAGGACAGATCTGGATGCCCATGCAGGGGCAAGTTGACTCTTCACTCTGGCCATTTGTGCCTCAGCCCTGAGGCCTGCTCATGTCTCTGACCCCAGTCTTTTCCTTTGTCGCTTCCCCTTATTCCGATGACCACAATCCAAACAAACAGCAGAAGAGACTGGATTACATTAGCTATCTATCATGCTATTTATATTTATGAAATATAGTATTGTGAGATCACATTTAGTAAAACTTTTCCTTAAAAATAATTTTGTCCTCTATTCTACTTTGTATTGGATGGAAGCAAAACACAATGGATCATATACTTAAAAGCGGGCGGGGGGGAAAGGGCAGACATACCATTTTAGAACTTTCTAGCAAGCAAATACCCCAAGAATATTTATCCAAGTGGTTACTCTGGGATATCTGAGGGGAAACGCAAAAGCAATTTTCTTGACTATCATCACTTTAATATGAAATTTAAACCCAAATACAACCACAGGCACATTCCTTTAATTTGGAAAAAGTGTGATTATGTTTAGGGAGCGTGGATGGAGCTCTTACCTGGCATGACCATGGTCTGTGGGGTTGCTGTGTCAGTACTTAAGCAGAGACGGCCACCTTTGGCTAATCTATCGCAGAGCAAGGTGATATGCTTCTTCAGTCGGCTTGTGTCTTTGGGTATGTCCAGTTGGCTGTTGAGGTTCAAAGCCTGCTCCTTCGAACTCTTTGACAGGCAAGTCTTCAAAAGATGGGAAATGGCGGCATCCACCGTTTCTTCCCAACCCTGGATACAAAGGCCAATTTTGAATTTATGCAAAGATAACATATGAGTATATCCATAACAGTGGTAATAATTATAACTTGATTGGGCCCTTCACTCATTATATAAATTATTGAGTGGTTATGTTCAAGTTTTGGAGACTTGTGAAGAGCATGATGTCTGGAATATTCCAGCATGGGCTGGTTTGGAATTCTAGTTCTGTCATCTGTTTGCCCTTGAGGAAGTTACTTAATTTCTCTTAGCTTCATCCTCACCTACAAATAAGGATATCAATAGTCTGTACCACCAAGGGGTTGGTGATATATGAGAAGAATTTATCCCTGAGCCAGGCATAAAGTAATGAGTAACAACAAGAACAATCTCAGGCATAGGTCTGTTTGATGATCTGACAAGTAAAGCTGCCAGGATTGTAGTTTGTTTTCTCTTATCTTTCTGTTGAGGGCTAGGCAGGGCAGGGAAGAATGTTGGATATCTTGGTGGAAACTGGAATGGAGAGAAAGCCTTGGTGTCTTTCTCAGTTACTGGTCCCATAGCCTTGGGGCTACAGGCAGAAAAAAAGGAGCTATTTCAAGAGGGATTGTATGAGACACAAGGGTCTACTTACTCCTGCCTCACAGTCCGGGTGACCATAAGTGACACAAAGTCACAATGGAAGCAAACCACTTTTGTTGGAAACAATGTGGTGGTGCTGCAGTAAAAACCCAAAGAAGTGCAGTGTCACCTTAGCACTGTTACTGGCATGAGTAAGCATCACCCCCAAGTGGGTTCAGAAAATACTAGCAACATGAAGCAAGAGCAGTCACGTCAGGAGCTGTCATTAGGCATCCCCAGGGGATTCCAGAGATAACTGGGTAAGATCTTCATGGGGATCTGGAGGTCCTAAGCAGCACAATAGGGAAGTGTGAGTGAAATCTGGGTGTTACTCTCATTGTAACTCCATTTGTAACTACAGGCTGGAAAGACCCAGAGTACCATGGGACTGACAATCAAAGTGAAATTATAAAGCTAGTTACTCAATGAATTTTGCAGAATAGGCCAAGATCCTTATGTCAGAGGCAAGAAACCTGAGAGTCAGGGAGCAGATGTCTCTGGAAGCCCTCACTTCATCCTCAGTCTTATAATTTGAGCCACCTGTCAAATATGCAAGCTTCAACTCCTAAAACTCAATGCTCAGTTTCGCATTTAAGGCACTTCCTACTCCAACTCCTGCTCTGCTGCATCCTCTTCCCATCTGCCCACACCCACATGCTTTCTCCCTCAGGACCCTGCACACTGTCGGCGCTCATGCTGCAATTCCCTGTCTCTCCTCTTTACCTGGCCAACTCCCACTTATAACTCGACTCAGGTACTGCCATTCAAGGACCACATGAGCCTCTGAGATCTCATGCATCCAGATTTATCACAGCACTTCTCACATTGCCATGATCGCTGTTTACATGTCTGGATTTCCCATAAGAGTTTCTGGATTTTTTCCATGCCGATGCACTGTGCTTGGTATATACAGGGTAGTCAAGACACATCCTTGCTGGACAGAGAGATGGTGAGATATAAAAACAGGATCTTAGAGTTGAAAGAGCTTTGGAGATCTTTAAGTTCAGTCTCATGGGATTTTCCCAGGACCCATTATACAATAGCAACCATCTGCCTAGACATGGCAGTCTTCAAGACCCCAAATTACTACTTTCTGAGGCAGTTCACTCATTTCAGGGGCATGTATAAGCAGCAGAAGGCTGTTCCTCCACTGAGCCAAAATCTGCTGCACTGGCCCTTATTCCACCCTCCAGAAACATGCAGAATAAATCTAACCTCTCTTCTACATGACAGCCCTTTATATCTGTGAAGACAGCAATTCTGTACCCTCTTCTGCAGAATAAACATCCCAGTCCCTCTAGTTCTTCCTTCTATAAACATGGTTTCAAGTTTTTTCTCAATTCTGACCACTGTTCTCTGAATAAGCTCCAATTTTAAACACTCACAAATTTATACAGCTAAGTAGAGAACCCCAAACTGACCCCAAGACACTGGGTTGGGTTAGGGAGTACAGATAGAACAAAGGTCTCTCTCCCTTTTTCTGGGAATTCCACCTGTCTGCCTGGTCTCTGGTCACCTCTCCTCTCTTGGCAGCTGCAAAATTCTTGATTCACACAAGTGCACAGAGGCCTGGGCCCCAGGCCTTTTCCATGCTTGCCATGTTTCTCCCTTCTGGCTTATGCAGCAGGTCCTTCAGACCAAAGTGCAGACTCTGCATGTATTCACTTCTCACTGATTGCCATGCTCGGTTATTCAGGACTTTTTACTCTATTGACCCATTTCTATTAGCTCACTATAGATGTTTCTAGGAAAATTAGGAAGTAAATAAATTATTTTAACATAGTCTTGAAAATCCTTTCAAGAGACCACAAAGACTGTAAGATCAGCTTCCTGTCCCAAACTACTAAAGAAGAAAAAACCACCACTTATTACAAAGACACCTCTCTACTACTACCACAATCTAAACCAGACAAATATCTGAAATAGATTTTGTATGTCAATAATAACGGGAAGAGTTAAATTAAGACAAAATAGTAACTCAAACATCATTGGAGAGGACATATTTTCAACTGGGGCCACTGACAAAGATCTTTGGAGTACAAGAAGGAAAGATTGTTTGAATATAATTTGCATCCTCTATGGTTATTTCAGCATTAAAATGATTCTTTCTCATTTATAGCCTTCATCTAAGCCATCTACTCTACTCTTAAATAGATTACAGTAGCATATTAGATAGTTTAAGTAGATATGGCATTTAGTTAATACAAAATTTCTTTTCCTACTGCCAACTCGCAGATCAAGTGAAAAACCATGTCATGTTTAGGTATTTGGCATGAATTTTTCTTTAACATAATAAGCTGATGTCAATACTTCAGAAAGACTACTACCCAAATACAGTTATTTAGAGGGCCTGAATTGCTACATAAATTCAAATAAAAATAAAAAGAATTATTTAAGAAACAAAAGAAGAACCTCTGAAGTGAAAGTTTTCTTAAGCTACTTCAATCACTTTTTTGCTGATTGAGTTCATTATCTTTGTTCACAGCCCTCAAATTGCTAAGTCTAATGTTCAGTTGTAATGTCTAAATAGACATACATACCACAAGCTCTTGTCTAACCTTTATTATTTAAAGATGACTATCAGTCATACTAATATTTTTTCTCATATTGTGAGAGTATAAGAAAATCTTAATTTGGGAAAATAGCACTAAAAATGTCTGGAAAGGGAACTAGGAATACGCTTTTCAGTGAGAACTGATTTTTGTTATAGTTTTTAAATTCATAGCTTAACTCTAAAGTCCTAGCTGACCTGTGTATGGCTTTAAGGAAAAAGCAGCAGGTATGAAGTAGAAGAAAGGTAGGCAGGAAAAGAGGAAGAGAGGGAAAGAGGGAGAGGGAGAGAAGAAGGGAGGGAGGAAGGAAGGATTGATTTAAACATACACGATACTTTATTTTACTTTCCTCTCAGCCCTTGCTAGTATTGGAAATTAACTTATTCATTGGGTTTGAGGGGTATATTTACTTTGTCTAGTCTAGTATTGATAATTGGGTTTTCCTTCATTTCCAAGACCCTGGCTCTACCCATTATAGCAACTTCATTTTTGTCGTAATCCTCCACTTGAGCCCTTGCTTTGGGAGCCTGCTTAAGATGTCACTGCTTGAAAGATAGATGCCTTGGCCCTGCCAGACCCCTTCCAAGGAACTGGACCCAGTGGCTGAGGCCTGCTGCCTGCTCCCTGCCTTCTCCAATGTCAAGTTGCCTGCTGTGGGCATCACCCAACATGGCTTCCCAGTTCTCTGCTTCTACATGAGTGTAGAGGCCCCTACACTCTATGCTGGCCCCAGATGCCTTTGTGTACCAGTGTGATGCTCCGGTGTGCACTGTTTCTGTCAGTTCTTTAAGTTCAAAGCCCTGGCCTCACCTAGTCTGCTCCTCCTGATTGAGCTATGCGATTTGCTACCCAGAGGACAAGCTGCTGAGGCTGAGTTTCTGAATGTTCTGCCCTACCTACCCTGCTAGTCTCCCCTAGTCACCAGTCCTAAACGCTAGCACCAAGCAAATGGCTTATCAGAAACAGTATGAAGCAGAAAGTTTGATTAAGTTTGTGAAGATAATTCCTTAGGGCGTCAACTAAAGTAACCAAAGGGAAAAAATAAACAAAAAGAGTATTCCCATGCCCCGTGTGAATCAAAACATCTGAGCTGAAGACAGTTACCCCTAGGCTTCTGAATTCTGACTTAACCTCACTCACCTCAACTGCCCCTTCACTATGTGACACCTTAGATTACCCACTTAATCTCTTTGGGGTACATCTGACATCTTTGTAAAACAAGAATAAAACTGTTCACTATGCCAATCTTACATGAGTGGTAATGCACTCTAAAATCTTAAGTAGAGGATACTATGAAATAAGAAAATATATTCACTTCTACTTTTTAAAAAAATAGAGACTAGAAGTACACCATTGAAATACAATGCTCAAAGTGACATCCTTAAACTTTTTAAAAGTAAATTATGAACTCCAGAAAACTTATATTATAATAGAAACAGTACCACATCCTTAACTATAGTGGTATAGGGAAAAACTCCAAAATGTCATGGCAGCATTTATTACCAAATGCACACACAGTTTACTCTATGGGAAAAAGAAAAGGTAAAAAACAGAGATGTGTCTAAAGAAGCTATTTGCTAATCTCTATTCGAGATTGTGTGGCCAGAACCCGGGTTTCAGTTGAGAAGACGTTCAGAAATGGCCTGTCTTGCATTATATATTTGAAGGAGAAAAAAATCTTTACATCATATTAATTTATCTTAAAAACAAACTATATAAAAGGGAAAGAAATTTCCTCTTAAACAGATGTAAATGATTCACAATGAAGTCCTTCATATTTATAATCAATCCACAGAACTTTATGGTTATTACTACTTTGTATTGTATTATATTGCATCAGATTATACTTAGTCAAGATAT